CTGACACGAAGACACGATACCTTTAGGCGAAATAACGATATTTCAACAGGCGAACACAAGAGATTTTCTTCTGTAAAAATATCGTGTCGGCTTTTAGAAATCTTCGCGTCGGCGCCCTGTCGGCTTTTAGAAATCTTCGCGTCGGCGCCCTTTTTTATCGTGTCGTCATGTGTTCGCCTCAAAATGCGACGACACGATAATTGACAAAGTATCGTGTCGCCAGAAGGCATGATATTAAACACACTGTTTAATGCAAGCAGCCACCAAAGTTACTTGATGTAATAAAAAAGTTAAAAAAGGACGGCGATGACTGGTGTGATTTAACACTTTTGCCTGTATATTCTGTCACACAAAACTATTTTTCTTTTCTTTTACTCCTTTTTATATTTTTATCAATTGATTGTGAGACAATTGTTAGTTATTTGTATTAATCACTGTCGTCTCCATATCCTTGACTTACCACTACTGATATAAAACGATATCTGGAAACAAGTCCGGACCCACAGCCCATCATTTAACATAATATTAATACACAAATATCTTACATGACGAAATACAATTATGTAAGATTAGTTTAAAATATAATTATATGTACTCGATTTAACACGATATTTTATAGCTCTATGAGTAACGTTGATTTTCGCCATGAACACTATTTTTCGGCCGAAAAAACTGTACACAATACTGAGAATCTACACAAATTATTAAGAACGATGCACTCGATGCGTTTTGGTGACTTATTTTGCTCAGGTACATTTCAATTTTTACCCAGATAAAAGGGATAACATAGCAATCAATTTGTTTGCGAAGTTTTCTAACCTCGGCGGTTGTAGAAAGTATTACGAATAAGTTTAAATTTTGCAAGGCTCATTATCTATGCCAAAGGGAAAAATGTCACGACATCATTGAAGGATTTTGACGAAGAAAGGATTATCTGCAGTCATCTTTGAAGGTCATTTTCAGACGTATACATTAACATCTCCAATTAGAACTGACAATCTTCCCACAGTGGTTCCTGATCAGCTGAAAATTCAGTCGATACATAGCCGAGAATAGTTTTTCATTTTAATTTTCATAATCTCTATCACTTTCTTTTTTTTCGATTTAATATGTATAATTAATGTACTAAAAGGTAGAATCTGTACGTAAACTTAACGAAAGTAATTTTCACTATAAGAAGCAATCGCCATGTTTTGGCGCCACATGATAATCTTTATCATCTTGCAGTAGTAGCAGCAGCAGGGGTTAATGTAGCACAGCTTGCTTGATGTAACCGGTGCAAAAGGTTTGATTTAATGTTCTATAGAATAGTTTAACAAAAGAATGATATAGCAATACCATTATATTGCCTTAAATGATACAAGGAAATGATTTAATAATTCGTACAGGTAGCATGAACCAAAGGACTTTGCTGTACAATCTGGACACACTTCCATAAATATTCTTAGATTGGATTTTATTTATTTTTAGTTTGGATCTTAATTTGATCTTAGAGTTATACTTGCATTTCTTGAACATTGACATACATCAAAATGTAAACACCAGCTTCAACGGCAGTTAGGGAAATTTAGACTTGGAGAATGTTATTTTTTTTAGAGAACTGTCTTAATGATATTTGGAAATGTCATTCTGTAAAAACCACCACCTGGACATTTCTACTGAATTTAAATATTTCTTCTACTTTATAATTATATAGCTAACTAATTCGTGTGTAAATATAGCGTTCAGAATGATAAATGGATTTTGCAAATTATTGCAATCGTGGTCGTAAATAAAACGCAACAACATTATCAAGAAATATTTATAAGCATAAGCAATAGAAATATAACATGGGCACATACTGCATTAGTTATAAAAAAGAAAGCATTTCAACCACACTTTAAAGCTTTGAAACATCTTTCATGAAAATAAACATGGTGTGGTCATTCGAGACAAAAATCAACTGAATCTTATCTGAACCAGCAAACACAAGGATATAATCACCGCAAGTTGTCCAATAATACAGTGTCAAATAATTTGACGGCTTTGTTACGTTAAGTGTCTAATACGAACTCTTCTTTTTATCAGTTTTGGTACTCTTTGTTCGTGCGAAAAGTTTTTACAAAAGTGTAAAAGTTAAATATTAATCCTGAAGGGAATATGCTACATTTGAAACCTACATACATTATATTGGCTGTTGTCAAGTTCTTGATAATATAGGTGAAATGATAAAACGTGAATACCACATATAATTTAAGTCCGCGGATATCTTAGTTATTGATAGTTTCAAAAGCAATGTACAAGCACTAATCACGAGTAATCAACATACTATATAACAGCAAGATATTTGTGTTAATCTAACAAAACGCGTTTGGTGAACATCATTTTGAAGCACTCATGACTTTCATAATGACTATCCTAAAGATGTATGAGAATTTAGAAATAAGTTTGTCTATGAAAATCGACAACGCTTATGATACAAACAAGACATACTACTTAAATGAAGCAAAACAAAGAGAGAAAAACAAATCAATAAATCAGTGACTTATATCACATATCATCTTATATAAACGATTGTTTTGTACCATACAATTAACGTTTTAAATGAAGTGATAAAGATTCACATTTAACCACTCTAGTAAATAATTCTTTCTAAATGGCTCTAAAAATACATTTGTCTAAGGAAAGCAGTAATTTTTCTCACGAGAGGACTACATGACAAAACTGATAAAATATAGACAATAGGTTTGAAGGAAGTAAAATAAAATATTCTCATATACTTACAAGAGCCCTTAAAATCAGCATTTATTACAATGTATTCATCATAAATAGTTGTCTTATATATATGATCATTTAGACTGATAAAATTAAACATGAGACACTATATCTTACCAAAGATTCTTGGACAATATTCTGGATTAATGAGCACGTAATATTACAAATAGAGAACAAATGAATCCCTTAAGGACGTCAAAACCGGCAAAAATTTAAATGTTTGCAAGCTCGGTTTGATTACATTTATGAATTAAAAAGTTTATATACTGTACACATAGTAATATTAAATATTTATAATAGCTCTGTTTTAACACCATGTTGCTCGACTGTGAAGCTAATAGTTTATAGGTTCTGGTAATCTTCTGTTCGTTTGATGTGATCCATAATCAGATCAAAACAGAACTTGTATTGCTCCTGCAAATTAAAAGACAATATGATAAATTGTAAGAACAATGTCATATTATAGCAATGTAAAAGATCATGCTTACTTCATTTAGTCGATATTAACAACAATAAGTAAAACACAATTCTATCAATATCTGGTACTGGATAATTGTTAGATTTTGTATGTTATAAGTGAATGGGTCAATGACGGAAGGTCTGTTACACCACAATTGATTATACTGATAGTATACAGTAACACAAGACACAGCTTACCACGATTGTAAGAATTATATAATGGACTTACTCTAACTATAAAGCGGATGATAATTTTTTCTAAAACTATGTATAATATAAATGCTCATACTCAGCCACTAAGAACTACTCTATCAATGTTTTGCTTTCAAAAATATCTTTTAAGAATATCTAAATGAAACATTTCTACAGTTTTATTAATCTTTTAATATACTTGTGATAACAGTGGTCATTGTAGAACAATTAACTTTCAATTAAGTTGTAAAATGAACACGATATTTTGTTATTAATATAATGTAAATGTCAATCCAATCGACTATTAATTCATAAAGTGTATATGTGGTACATTAATTATATCAAGTGCACCGAATTGAAGTAATGTGAAAGTTGAATATTTCTGAGGATATCTTACATAGTTGGTTATAAGATGTCTCTGTCGTTTCTTCATCATTTTAACAGACTCTACAATGTTAACGTGGCCTCCTTCATATTTCATCCTTTGAAGCTCGTTCAGGAGCACACATACTATACCAGATCTTGTACAACCGTCACTGTTAGATTTACAACAGAGGAAAAGCGAAAAGGTTTTGTAAGAAGTAAATCAAGTTACATAAAAATTAAGAAAAATGTAAAACTTACATAGCTATATGTACATGTATATACTTATGTACAATTATTATGATAATAAAATTAGTCTAGATAAATGCACTAAATCAGCAAAGAATGAAATGAACAAACGAATGAACTTTTCACATTTAAAACGTTACATTTTACGTAACGTTGATCAAATTTTTAAAAAATTCTGGAAACAAAGTGATCCCCCAAAAGCTTAAATCACAACAAAATTACATGAAAATTGCAGACTCAGTTTGAGTCTGTACATGAGGGATAATGAATAAGTGCAAGATCCCTCACGCCCCCTTGCAACGGTTTGAGCGGTACTCAATTCTCAACACTGAACAGTGCTGGCATCATGTAAGTCAATGTATTATAGTATAGTCTAATAAAACCAGTTATCTTGTAAGTTCATGGATATAGCGTCAAAAACTTTGTTTCGGATCACAGTGATATGTTTCAAGAATAAAAGCTAACTGTAACAATACTTTACGTATATAACTCTTTTAGAGTGGTTTTGTACACGTATTTCTTTTATAACTTTCTTATATATTGTTAATGTATGTAAAAAAGTGAAATTTAAATAAACAAATTGTATTGTTTTGTATATAATTGTTATATTCACAGTAATAAAACACGGTCAAGTAAATCATCCTGTTGAAATTATGTGAAATGTTTTATTTTTAAATATGATCATATACCCGCAATGAACAAGTACTGGCTGTGACTCCGACAAATGCGGCTGCCATTTTAACACGGCTTCTATCATATCCAGGAATGAGGTTGTGTCACCTGGAGACGGGTATCCATCTTTCCAAGCTGTGTATTCAAATTGCTTCAACGTTGTTAAGTGATCTTCCTCCTGTCGATATGTAGAATATTTATTTTTACAACTCAAATTTTTTTACAAAACAAAACGGTTATGTTTTATTTAATGCAAATTTATGTAAAATACTGACCAAATGTAATACACAGCTAAATACAGCTTAATTGTGGACAAATCTAAAATTGTCATGTCGATTAACACACACCCACACACATACACGTCTGCGCGCACACATGCACGCACACCAAATAATAAATAACACCGTTATAAATGTTCACGGCAACTTCTTGACGTGGACCACATTTAAATATTTTCATTGTACCAATATTTGTTGCATCCTTTCACTACTGACAGGAAATTATTGCTTTTAACGAAACAAAAGGAACATAAAGTTCAAATGGTGTACTCGTACATTAAGTATTTAGTATAACAGTTATTACCTCCCTTACACTTTCCTTGAAGGTGAAGGTCCTCTGGGTATAACCCTTTCTCCTTTTCTCTTCTATTTTGTTAACGCTAAATCTGTTCCCAGAACCTGAACCCAGTTCACAGCTTGACTGTTCATATAAAACGTAAGTAAAAAAAAAATGGTATGATTTAGATTTCGCTTTTAACATTAAATATATGTATATTGTACATGTTAAAACATTTTATTTTTATTTTCGAATTTTTGTTAAATATTAATAAGTGATAGTTCATCAAAACATTTTAGAAATTACAATTTATTCCATTTTGTAAATTTATGCTGAATGTCATGTCTATTAGTGTTTGTTCGTTTTCTGATTCGTAACACATATTGTTTTATCATATATCAGTGGTCGATCCACATAGCCGGGTTTCTTTGATAACTTTGATAACCAGAAATTACCATTTTCTCCGCAAGTGTCTGACTACTGATTCCATATAAGTTTTGAATCAGATGGATAAATGACCATTAGACTTAAAATGAAGTTGTTTGGAGTAAATGTTTAACCTGATAGCATGAAGATGACTGTTCTGTAAGCATTATAACTGTCTTGATGTTGTTGTCGTCAACAAGAGACCAAAACTCTTCCATTGTATCTTTATCTGGTGACATTGACACAAGAAATGTGCTCTTTCCCTTGTAATTCTAAATAAAGAACACATATCTTAATATTAATCACGAGCAAGACAATTAACTTGAGCAAAGGAAATGTAACATACACTCCAAGTCTATTTGTAAAACAGTATTTCTTTGAAAATTTAGAAAAAAATGAGATATATTTAAACTGCCTGCACTTACAGTGATACACATGGCACCCAAACGCTGCACAAATGTTGACCCCTTGTTCATGAATTTCGGTCTGTATGCAGCACCTAAATACGAAAAATACTTATATTATTTGAACAACGGCATACCTTTTACTTTTATTGCCTTTGTCACCATACTTATAATTTGACGAACATAACGTTACATTTTCTGTTAGACATTGACTAGACAGAAGGTAGTTGTATACACATGTATTACTTTAAATTTGTAGTCTTGAAAACGTATAAGTTAGTAGTAACTTGACATTTTTTCTGATGCATTATAATGAAAAGGAAAAAAACATGGCTTTACTTTCTGAAAGAAGGGTATCCACATTAGAATATTCCGGGCTTTCTGCTACCTCTGATGAGGAGTTCACAACACTTTTCTCGATAAGCTGTAATGATCCAATTAATTTCAGCTATATATTTTATTTAAACTATCAAGTGGTCAGGAAACATATATTATTATTTATATTACGATCACGGCCAGACCAGAACTCAAACTAAATTAAAATGCATATTTCAAGTGATAGTAAATTGTAATTGCACTTACGTCCGTTCCTAGGCAATAAACACATGTATAAACAAAACTATATGCAATGATTCACATGGACAAGTATATCATAACGACAGAGCTAATGCGCATGCAAATAAGTATAATTGCTCAGATTAATACAGTCAAACAATATAATACATAAATAAAATACTCGTACAAGCGAAAAGTTACAGCTCTTTTATGTATCTAGAATAGTTGCATAAACAGACATATCAATGTTCTTGAAATACATGAACATAAAGGAACTCTCTTTACTTATCATAGGAAAAGAAGGGTAACAAGTGACAAAACAATAACACTATAAGCAGAACCTCAAATTGTATCTGTAATCTTGTCCGTGCGTCAACCTTGTCTTTTTGTATCATAAATTCCAGCACATCTCTAAACTGCTTTGTCCAAATAATGTGGGTACCAAAATACATGGCGTCTGCAGCTGCCTCATGTAAGTATATGTACTGCTCCTAAATGAAGTACACATGTCAATATTCATGTATACTTGCAGCTTAGAAATTTGATAATATGTAGTAAACCCTTTTAAGCGCAACAAATACTATTCATAGCATTATATGCATCTGTGATATCTAAGTGACCATAGAATAAGTTAAATAAATCACTTTGATCTTGGTTTGTTCTATACATATTGCTATGTTACGTATATTATTAGTACCCTATCCCTAAAATTCTGAAAGAACGTCGTTCATGATAAGGTCCTTTAATGAATCAATGATTTTGAGGAAAATAGAGAATGATTCATTAATACCTCAAAGAAGTCCCTTTATTACAATCATTTTCTTCGTAAACATTTTATAAAGATTTAACAAACCATTATGTATCGTACATATACATGTACAACAATAGTTAGAGTGTGAGTTTAACTCGAAACGCCATATTTCATGTTGCACTTCAACCATAAAATGTTTAGAAAGAGTTGATTTTATTAGTTGAAATAACATATCACCTTTGTCTGTACCATGTTGACTCGCTGTGACCTCAAGTTCTGAACAACCTGTAGCGGTCGTATACAACCCTCCAACCGTGCTTGATTCACCAAATTGTCAAGCCCAATAAAAGTTCCTGTTCTACCAACTCCGGCGCTGAAAAATGAAAACAAAATGATTGTCCTATATGATCTTTTCAATAAATAGTAATGTTAAAGAAAATCTTTGGACGAGGCGGAACCTTCTCTGCGCCAGTTGATCTCAAACAAGTGTGCAATGGTCATTTGTATCTTACAGCTGATTCAGAAATTATAAGGGATTAATAAAGGATGAATAACGTAGAAATTGGAAATAACAGATTAATTATCCAAGAAAGCCAATTCGGTGGACCAACTACTGAGATATGTAAACAATATTGTCAAATCGACGTAAAAACCAGATGAACAGGAAAACCTGCAGTGTACGACTATTGGTCCTGCATTTGATGCAATGTTCGTATCAACAACCCTCCAAAAATTGACAAGGCACCAAGTGCTATCAGGAACATCTTTATCTGGCCAGGACTTGAAATGAAATTGCCGAATTCTACGGGACTCTTCTCCGTTCTGAAAAAGCGACGTATCATATTTTCGTATTTTAATTGTTGTTTAGTTTTATTTTTCATAATTATTATAGTATAATCACGGCTATTATTATTAAAGGAGGTGTTAGAACTGTAATATAGTTAATGTTTGTGATTTCTACTCAGTTCAACTTACCTTTGTGACCTCAAACACACGTATGTTGTAGTCAAGGAACTTTTCTATTTCTAGTAGTCTTATAACTATGTCTCCAAAGGTACATTCAGTTTCCCCGTCCTCTTCTTTAGGCCAGTATTGCAAACACTTTGTCTACAATATAGAAGTTTGACTTGGCAAATGTCTTGGTTTTAATGTTCAAAACAAATATAACCATAGGTAACATTTATGACATAACTTATTAAACTTAATATACTTGTTGACTTATACAATGATACATGTATAAAGTATAGTCTGATTTAATTGACCTGTCAATTATGAATACATTATAGCACTCATTTAAATATTCGATCCCACTTAGGTTCTCTCCGTATAGTTTACGAGAATTGATATGGAGTAAATAACTAATGTTTGGAAAACTCACACTGGCTTAATATTTTTTAATGTATTGGGCTTCGTCACATCCGCAATAGCACAATCGGTTAAGTGATTTCCTGATATGTGAAATGTCTGTGGTTCTATCCCTACTGTTGCTATTGTAGACCTAATCTTTCTTTATTTTTGCAGTATATTTAAGCTAAATGGCCGAGTGCTTGCATTATTGTCTACAGGGATATAAAAGCAACTTAGAAACCTTTTGTCTCGATTTCTATTGTGTTTTACGGCATTAAAATGACATTTACTGATTTTTATCTGAATGAATTTTAAACATTAATTCTTAAACCATGTTATTTAAAAAGAGTACAGACTTTACTACAAAACTAAGCGCAAAACATATTAAAACAAAACGAACAACATAAAAAGAACAATCATAGTTTTATAGTTTTAATAACGTTGAAAAAAAACAACATACGCGGTCTCGATCTTTCAACACGTAGGACACATTTCTTTTAGTAGAAATAATTTACCCGTAGTTTACCCTATTGCGATATAACGGTCAGTACAATTACTTCACGGATACACAATCACAATCATATCTTACTGCGTATATCTCACGGAACTTACCGAAATATATCGAACGTTAATATATTGTATGCAATTGACAGGTTAATAAAATCAAACAATAATATATGTTTAATAATTTTAAATTAAATCAATTGTATAAGTTATCTATCAAATAAAAAGCAGGCGACATTAACAATACAAACGTTGTTTACGTGGAACGGTAACTACGCTACGTAAAAGTAAAATACATTTTATGAAATATTTACCGTGCCCATTTCAATTAAGTTAGTGAGCATAACAATTTTGTCTGATTTAAGCTGCCACACCATCCTCCAGAAATCATCTACCATATTCTTTGTTGGTCCTGTAAAATTTATACAGCAACAGTTTGTATAAAAATCCCAATTAGGTGTAAAACTCAGGGAAAAACCAAAAGTGAAAGGGTACTTATAAAAATACAACAATATCATATTTTAGTTTTTATGTTGTACATTATCACCTACAACTGTTTTATTCAAAGGTCAGATTCCCTAATGTGTTAATTTTTGACCCTTGATATATTTACAAAAGCAACATTTTGCAATTAGAAAATATACAGCAAACACAAATAAAATGAAAAATAGCTAAACTGTATAAAATAAAAATTTGCATAAGAAAACATGTAAAACATATATTAATCAAATTTAAATTAAACATGTATCTAAATAAAGTAACATTGTTGCTTAAAAGGGGCAATGAATATGACAAAAAGAATTCGCAAACATACATGTATGCTTTTCGGAAGTGAAAAACAATGTTGTACAAAAATATATATAAAGATCATTACCTTGTGATGCAACGAACTTTTTAACCTTCTCATAACCCTGTATTATATATAAACATTGAATAAGTTGTTTTGATTATTTCAGTTCGTTAGGATATTGAATGAGTGTAAGTTCAATACTGAATGAATAAACGTTTTAAGTTTTAATATAGAAATTTTTCTCGGATCTATTCTTATCAATTTAACATTGTTTTCATTTACAGAGTCTACAGAATCTATATCAAATATATACATAATCCCATTTAGCCCAGATTTCATTTACATAGTCTACACTATGTATATCAAATGCACATCGTACATCAGAAAGCCTCGAGTTTATTTTCATGGACCAGACTTTGGACGTTAAACGTTACTAGAACTTGTTTATTTTTGTTAAAAAATACACTGGTTACATTTATAACAATAAAGCTGTTAGGCGAAATTAAATAGTTAGTAAACCACATTATTCAGAATACATCGTTAAATCTATATTTATATTTTTAAATCACAACAACGTACAAGACAGCTCAGCTATGTAGAACTAGACTTAGATAGGTGGCTTTCAAATCAATTTAATATCAGTAACTAATAACATACGTCTATATAACATGCATTAATGTAACCTCCATGTATATCATCTCCTGGTTCACAGTCATCATCCAAAATAACTCGAGTGTGATCATCTAAAATCATGCAAAAAACAACAATATAGCGATAAAAACACGCCAACAAATGAAAGACAGCTCTCACTACGTCAATTATGTCTTCAAAGATTCTGGAAGATGGTTTCAATCAGGAAATATCCCGTCAGCAGATATGAAGTGTATTTATTGTTAAGAACTTGGATACGAGTTTTATTTTAATTTAGACTGTTCATGTTATTATGAAGACTAATATACGTAAACATTATATGAATATATCTTTCATGTAGACCTAGGACGTTTATGTTTAAGCAATTGATTCAAAGACAAATAACATCGTTATTAAGAGTGTTTATATGTTGAGAAAAAACACACACACAAAAAACAACAAAAAACAAACAAAACACTTTTAACAACACACTATTTGTCAATAATGTACACGTACATGTATAGCATCTCTTGTAATAACGCGACACAATTCCAAGTATGTCGAATTCTATCTGCTAAATGTATCATGCGTTTGTTAGTATTTACGGTTTTGACGGTTCTTTAGGGATTCCTTATTTCATTTGTATTTTGCTGTTATTGTATATGTACATATCTGTGTGTTCAAAAGGCCTTTCATTATACGTTAATAAACATACTATATAATACTGAGGTACACAACTAGGAAGTATATACATTCGATTCTTGCAACAACAACAGCAACGTTAAATCGAAAGGTCATAATTTAGAGAAATAACTCACAAGCATACATATCCTTGTACCGGTTTTTGCCTCGGTTAGATATATGGTCCGCGGATCTACAAGGATGAACAAGTCCTTGTTGCAAAGTCTGTAAAACAAATCAGTCAATCAATCAAATTGTCTTGGCATGTGCATATCTGACCAAAAAAGAATAAGTGCTAAGAAGCAGAATGTAATGTACATGTTTTGACTATCGATAGTCTATCATACAAAAAATTATAAAATATTCAAACTGATGTAAACAATTTTGCAACGCTTTGACAGATAATTTGATTTTTTTTAAATATCAAATTCTTGTACAGCTTGCAAATTCTTGCGTACTAAGACAACCACGTATATTGCCATATTCCGGAAAAGGATAATATTTACGTTAATCAAATTTATTTTATGATATTGAAAGTATTGAAAGAAGCACACTGGCAACAGTCACTTAAACACATTTGTTACTAAGACTTACCTTAAATTCCGAAATCAACTGTTCACATTTGTTTTCCATTTTGTTGCGTATGTAATCCCATAATTCGTGAATCTTGATTCCCGTCAAATGTTCATTAAAGCTGTAGTAATCACTAGCGCTTGTACCAGCCATACTTGTTTCTTGCTCATCTAAAATCAACCATTTATTATATATCTATTTGAAGAAAATCAATGTTTATAGAAAGGCATATTTCATCTAATGATGTTTACATATTACCTTCATACAATCTGTTTACATGCGCACCCTGGTTCGTTCTTCTTTGAGCCTTTGTTCTGTTAGACAGGGCTTCGTCAAGATGAGAAAAATTGGTTTCCTGACCATTGTTCTTTTTTGAGCTGCAATTACAACCGTGATATTTTCTAATTAATAGATATTTCAACAGAAGATATAATGGAGACCTATTAAGACTAAAGATCAAGATTTTATGTCAGACATTAAAGTGTAAATCCTAATGTTAGACATTTACATGTGGGTATACGGTCGTATTTTCAATATTCACACTGTTTTATTGATTCCATACGTTCATATTCAAATCGCCTCCGTGGTCGAGGGGTTAGAGTCGATGACTTCTAATCCAGCATTCTGGCGTGGGTTCGATCCCCGGGAGATGCTTTGGTAGTTTAGCGCGGAGGAAGGTAGTCTAGTACTGGTGTAACTCTCCAGGAACGATGGTTAGGAAACTACCCGCCTACATGACTGAAATACTGTTGGAAAAAGGCGTAAAATGAAACAAACAAACAACAAAAAAAAAATAAGTGTCATAGCGATTCCCAAGATTTCTTTGTTACATGCATTTCAGTCCAATGATCTATCATTTTTGGCACATTTTAAATATTTTTGAAACCTTGTTTTACATGATTTATATATTCAGTATATCTACTTAAATAGGCTAAAACCGATGGTAAAAAAGTGTGATTGATGCAACTCATTAATTAACTTTTTAATCAACGGAATCGACAGTCTGTTTGGCCGTTATATGGTATTTAATGTTTAATTTGTTTTATTTCTAAAATATATCTTGCATTTCTGTAAGCGAAAATATGATAACAATGTGGGACAATGTCTGTGCAAGAGAAAAATAGAAAGACAGTAACATCCATTAATTTCTTTTAAAAAATATCCAGCACAGACACACTGAGATTTACGTGTTGTTAGAATTGCAACAATTCCATTACGGAATTGAATGTCTGACATGATATATTCATTGTGACAGGGGAAAAGAATTAAAATATAGTAGGATCATGAAAAGCTATTATACTAAACAATTCATGTAAACACGTAATATAATACATGTATTGCATTATCATTTAATTGAGAGTGAATAGACATTTATGATAGTCTTAAGATCGTACACTCTAGTCATCTAAACACTCACGATCGTATTCTTCTGAACAGTATTAATCCTATAACCACACCCAGAACAACTAGAACAGTCGCTCCTACTGCACCCCCTACTGCTGCACCTGTAGATCCGCTGGAATTGTCGGTACTTTCTGCTGATGCTGTAATATATATGTGATATAAAATAGTGTTTGTAGTATAGCATGTAAATATATGTATATATGTCTGTAACTTTGTAAAGTAAAAAAGTTATCTTAAACGGTTTATGACGATTTCTGTTATATATTGTCATCCAAATGAACTGGTTTGAGGGTCCATTTAACCACGGAATTCATGTCTTCTTTGAATCTGTAGCAAAATCTGAGAGCAAAGAAAATAAATTAAAAACCAAAATCAGACACGGTTTGACTGATTCTGTTTATAAACGTAGTGCTGCATTTTTTACCTGGGATAAAGTTACAGAAGTACCTTTCGCACGACGTCGTAAGCATATAGCCTTTAACTCAACTCGAAGTGATTTCTTACATATTAAGTTCTTCATACCTATTAGAACAATGCACTCAGAAATGTGCTATTAAATAACTTTAAAGAGTTTATAATTTTGTTATTAAGATATATCGGATGTGTGAACATATCGCACAAAGTTGTCACCTCTGTGGAAACCAGTACACCATTTGTAAATTTGAATTGAGGTTTATATAGACAGATAAGCAAGTTCCACTGAAGTACCCTATAAACAACATGTAAATTAATATAGTCATAGTCAATACATTTTGATATACGATCATACACATGTTATATGCAAAGAAATGAAGCAAATGCATTGGTGTATATTATTATATACGAATATATATAAGATATAAAAGATTTCAACGGATAAGTTGTGCAAAGATTATCATAATAGTATTGCTTCAAATTTAGTATTCCGAGTAACATGACATTTGAAAAGTATATTTAAAGGGAATATTGTATAAACAAACGATTATAACGCAAAGAATATTTTAACAAAAGCAAATATAATTTATTTATATTATGATATAACCTCTTATAAATCAGTTTATTTGGACATACAGATATAATATTGAGCAGTGTAAATACTTGGCTTCATATCTTAGCGATGTATCACTTGTGTTAGTTAAGTAGCCAAAGTGATAACTATGAAGTTACCGTTATTGTTTTAGTTCATACAGGGCTAATACATTTTCGCTAAAAATGATGTTATGTTATATAGAGCTTGGAAGAATTCATTTATGTGGTGTTTCATTTAATGAGCCATCAAAGGAGCCCGGGAACGGGACCGTAGATTGCGGTGAATATTACCGTAGATTGCAGTGAATATTTCCTATATTGTACCGGCGTTTAATATTGCTTGTCCGACCTTTGAATATATTTTCATATTATCCAATACTGTGGTCTTTGAAAAAAACCTCAATTTATCAATACATTCTATTATAAAATTGGTCAAATTTTAGCCTATATTAAAATGAAAAGAAGAGACATTCGCCATTTACTGCAACGTTAAGCAAGATTTACTCCCTTTGAATAAGCTTGATTATGTTAGAAAGCGCAATGAAATACCGATTGCAAGACATCTGATGCACATAAATCAATAGTTTTATCTCTGAAAAGAAAATTAATTAAATAAAGTATTAATCTTATATATCAGACAAATTTTACGGTATATTAAACAAGAGTGACATCCGTCATTAACTAAGTAACCCCTCGAATATGCTTAATTTTGTGAGAAAGCACACTGACAAATCGGTTACCAGACACCGGATCGAAATATTGGTATTGTCACTTGTGCCCTTCATTGCCATGGCCCTGATATCTAGGTACAAAGTCACTGTTTCTTTCGTTCAATAAAATATATTCATAGAAATAGCTAGCTCAGGAACTCAGAAACGGGAGCGCGGATTCCAACGAACATTTCCGATCATACAACGTTCTTTAAATGTTTCTCCTAAACTTTGATGTTTGTTGTATTATCCTAATGTACGGCATCAAAGAATAAAACATTAAATTAACATTTTCTTTAATTAGGATGGTAAAGGACCTGGCCTACTTAGTCATTGTTATGAACCCAACGTTTGGCTTTTAATACTTTATCTAAAATTTATCCAACATATTATGCTAACATAATAGTGCATAGTATAATGTATATATATTGAGAATTCGTCAATGGGGGCTGTTACAATATCTGGATAATTGTAACCTTTTCTTTGTAATTTTTATATACGGACCTTTAGAGTCCGAGGTGACATATTCATAACTTAAGATTATATTCTGATCTATGTGGTCTGAGTTTAAAATTGTTTACGAAATACATGTATTATATATTATGTGGACCCTTTCAAGTTCTGAATATTCATAAATCATCAAAACATTGACCTACTAGAGAACAAATTGAACATTTATCAAGTGCGGTGACATTGACAGTCTCAGATATGTCGGCAAAATGTATTTGTTTAATGGATAGAGACATTAAACTTAAATTAAAGTAAGATTTGTTTGTAATTATTTTAATTTGAATTCATCTTATGAACCTTGAATGTTATGTAAATAATTATAATAGCTTTTTATATGTGAAATAAATGATAATTTATTATAATAGCTTGTAAATAATATTTCATGTACAAATTATTGTATCAATAAATACGTATATAAATGTAAAATAACTGTTTGTTAAATAATTATTTTGGAGAAAGAACTACCTATTCTGTTCAATTTTGACTTGTGAAAAATATACTTATTGGTGTACATTTACTGCAGCTTGATCCTTCCCAACCAGGATCACAGGACCCGGGACCTGTGCATACTCCTGTCGTTTCGTTGCAAGTTGCATTATCATAACAATGGCACGTGTTCGAACAATTAAAACCGAATCGACGATTGCTACAAACTTCAGAAAAAAAGATATTATGAATAAATAATTTATATCTAATAAATTATAATGATCTAGGAAACATGGGAACCTAGGAGGCGCAAAACTCGTCAACTTAAATGTTGCAGGCTAAGATTCAGCAACTTATTAAACGGACGGCGATCCTTTAATCAGTTAGAAATAAATCATAGACGTACATTGGTATATAATTTAAGTTACTCTTAACAGGTATCATTTGTTCAAATAATTATGATTTTGCAAAACGATACAATGTAATTGATAAAATAATAATCCCTGAATGTTTAAACAATTCATAATATATATACCTTTGTCACAACTATAGCCTTGCCAACCAGGATCACATGACCCAATCTCACATTCTCCTGTTGCACTGTTGCAATTTGAATCATTCAGACAATGGCATGATGATGAACAGGCATCGCCAAATCTTCGACGATCACATACTGGATAAAATAAAAATGAACATCTTTACGACAAGAACATGTGTAAGCCAATGAATAGAATTTCATGACGGACACCAAACGGTATTTAACTGTATATTACTCTATATATTTATAACTGTATATCTCTCATTAAAGTGGGTTTGGCAGACGATGGGTTTTTTGTTGCCTTTAAAAAAAAAATTTTGTATCTTTTTTGTCATCATTTGTAAATATTTTTTCCTTTAAGTTGGAGACAGTGACGTTTTTTTAAAAATTCTTTACATTATCATTTATTATTAACATTTTCCCCTTTAAAATTTCATACAGGAATTTTTTCCTAATTTTATGAGCTATTGGTCAATAAACAACATAATAATTTTATACTCCTCGTCACTGGCCTTTAAAACTTTAAAAATAATTGCATGAAAGTATCGGAATAAATATGGTATCATAAATACTGACGTTGTGGGGAGGGCTGTTGCTAATGTTGTCATTACTTGTAGCCCGACCCATTTGCCCTATATATCTTTGTAAATGTTTGTTTTTGTATCATTCATGTAACTTTAATGTATTTATGTTAAGGGCTCAACAGACGGTAAGATTTTGAAGTACAACATCAACTAAAAAACGTAGCTGTACAAGCAAATCTTAATGTGTGAAGGCTTCTAATTTTTGAATTCGTTCAATTTAATACATGTACTAGATTTATAGGATAGGACATGTTCTATCTCTTAATTCTAGTTGTTCAGACCTCCACGATGACAGGTGACATATTTCCCAATTATCCCCTGATAATGTGTTTAATGAATGAAATTCCAGAACAATTAGGGCTAAAATGTAAACATAGTAGTAAGATGGAGAAAAAAGGATGTTGAAAAACTCTTGAGAAGCCCACAAATTGTGGCATGTTCGAAAACATGATTATAAACTATTTCTATTTTATTTATTTTAAATGGAGGCGTTTCCATCATTACTCATGCAGTAAAAATTTTTTTTTCATCGTGAGATCAAAATACAGAAGAGGTTTTGGGTGCTTAGTTATGTCATTCATTCCAGAACATTGTATTTCCTAAATTCTCTTGCCATGCTTTCTGTGGCTTACCTTTTATTCAATCTTCAAAATTGGTCAATACCAACAATAATATAACATTTACACTTATTCCAGTAATAATAGTGAATAAATTCTGTATGGGGTTTATTCGGATGGAATTGTTTTGGAGGGAAATCTGGAAATTCATACAATAAAGATTTCCGGTCTGAATTGAAGTGATGTATTGCTTTGAAATGTGTACATCCTATCTCATATATAAGTGTTGTACAGCTAAATCCTACCGTCTGTTGAGACCTTATGTCAGCTATGAGTAAAAAAATAGAGACTTATTAGATACAATTCAAAGCTATATGAAAAAAATTATATTATTTTCCAGAAACTATATGCAAAGAGAGCTATATGACTTATGTGACTGGGTCGTTTTATTTCTAAAAAAATACGACACAAGGAATGATTAATACGGGCGTAAATGAATACTTTGAATACTTTTTAGAAGAAATGAGTCAGAAAATTAAACAGAAAAAAGCGGAATTTGTACTTTTATTAAAAATCGCAAAGGAGACGCCATTTCTATTTTTGTATCAAAAGCCTTGCTTTTGAGTCATATATATTGTGATATGGACAAATTAAATCGGAACATCATAAAAATTGTAATAAATCATAATAATAGAAGGCAAAGAACAGTCCGAATATGGATATTGCTTCTGAGCTAGAACAGGTAAATCTATTACAATGGCAGAAATTTCTGTAAAAATATATAAACTATCATATAACAACTGTTGCAACAAGACCATTTGCCACAAGAATACAACATATTCAATATCTAATGGACACTGAAGTAACTAAGAAAATAACCGGAAGCAATTATAAAATGCTTTGATCTGTTGTGCTCATTCATTACAGGGAATGTCAGTTGAATTTAAGATGTAAGATCTGACCGAACCCATCCTTAAATGAGTAAATGGGCACTAGATATGTTAAAGATAAGTAAAAATATAAAGGTGAACCCTCAGAAGCATTAAATATAGCAAAATCATACGACAATTGCAGACTCGGTTCGATCGATTCTGTACATGAGCTCTGACAGTTTACCATTATTAAATTGCATGTACGTTGAAACCACCCGTATAACATTAATAATTATAAAGTGTGTATATTGTGTGGTTACTTGTGTAAGATAAATAATGTTAAAACATCATCTACTCAACAAGGAACATTTTTATATCTTCGAGGATTGTTGCATATGGAGTATGACAAAAAAACGCATATAAGATAATATTTTCTTGCATTGCTATGATTAGTAACATTCAAAGATTTTCTTTTCGGTAAATTAGAAAATTGTATAATTGAAAAATGAATACCTGCGCTACAACTAAGACCTTGCCAACCGGAATCGCATGAACCAGCATCACAATCGCCCGTAGAACTGTTGCAACTTGTGCCATTATAACAGTGGCAAGTTGAGGAACAATTATAACCAAAGGTACGATTATCACACGCTAGAATATTGGATAATTTAGGTGTTTGAAATAACTTAAAATTGTACGGCAAAAACAAACAATAATAAATCGGCATCAAAATATACGATGCAAGAACAAATCATTTAGTTTTGATTTCAAAACCTTAGCTTTCAGAAAATATATTCTAATATAAAGCTTCGTCACAATGTTCATAGTTGCAAGGAATTGTCTAATACGATCTAAACATATTTTTTTACATTTAACATAACGACATAAATGCTAAAAGTCACCATCTGATAAAAATATATGTATACTACGTATAAGCTGAACGGTAACAATACCGTAACAATAATAGTAAGTAGGTTAACAAATGAAAGTAAAACTGAAGATGAAGTCAAACGATACATATATCATGGATACAGTAATCCATTTCTATACCAAAGTACCTAAGGATACATTTTAGAAAAGATTTTACAAATCACAAATGATTGTAAGTAGTACCTTGGTCACATGCAGGACCTTGCCAACCTGACTCACATACTCCGATTTGGCATTCCCCTGTTGTGCTGTTGCAATGTGACTCATTAAGACAATGGCATGATGATGAGCAATTATATCCAAAGGTACCATTGTTACATACTAAAATATAGATTAACCATCATTGCTACCTTATTATAAAAAAAACAAAAAAACATTAAACAATTGTTTGACACATATGTGCAAATGCGATCGTAATATTGTGGTAAGGATATGATTTATAAAATATAAACAAAACCAAAGCAATGAAGTTCATATATTGCAAATCTACTCATGTTGTGACTAAAATGAGTTTAGTTTTATTCTAATCTTTTGTTTAGCTTCTTTTGCTTCTATTTATTTTGTGATATAAGAATACTATATGATAAGAAGGTGAAAGTATGCTTAAATAATATACATTATCCTTGGAAATATAAAATGTTACCTTGATCACATGCAGGACCTTGCCAACCGGAATCACACAAACCATTATCACATACACCTGTTGTACTGTTGCAATTTGTATTATTTAGACAATGGCAAGTTGATGAACAATTGACACCGAACGTCCGATTGTCACATACTGCAAATAACAAAATAATGCAGAAACGGGAAGGAAATAAATGATTGGAAGATTCTATTTAAATGATTACCACATGTATTTAAACTATACATTTCCTTGTCTATGACGATTATATAGACAAAAACATGTACGATTAATTGAATGACCTTAGTTTTATGAATAATTATACACAATTTATACATAAGTTCCTAAATCGTAACAAGGTCCTTGCTTATCACAAATCATATAAGTCATTATCACATCTCCCTGTTGAACTGTTGCAATTTGTATTATTGAGACAATAAATAAACAATGAACAATTGTTAAATTGACTGTGACCACGGTCCATGACAAGAATAATAATAATATTAATAATAATAATAATAATAATAATAATAATAATAATAATAATAATAATAATAATGATGATGATGATGATAATGATGATGATGACAATAATAATAATTATAATAATAATAATGATGATGATGATGATAATGATGATGATAATAATAGTAATAAAAATAATAATAATGATAGTGATAATAATAATAATAATAATAATAATAATAATAATATATTCATTCCAACAATATTTTTAAAAACAATGTCAAGAAACATATAATAGGTATACTAATAGATAAGAAAACTGATGACGGTCTTATGCACATTAAATATCCGTATCTTGATCACATCTCGGTCCTTGCCAACCAGGGTCACATAATTCAGTATTACAGAACCCAGTTGTACTTTTGCATTTTGTATTGTTAAGACAGTGGCAAGTAGATGAACAATTATACCCGAATGTACGATGATTGCATTCTATTATATTGAATAAAAGAATGTTTAAGGAACTCCGCTGACTAAAAACATAAAATTGGAATGTCTGACAATGATCAGCTAAGACAGACATATACACAGAAATGAATAGAAATTCGTATAACAGTGTACAATATAAAAGAGGAATGTCCAATCATTCCTGTTTATTATGGCTCTTTTGGTCATTTTAGTGGTTAAAATGGTACATAAAAATCAAGGCAAATTGATATAAATGGACAATTCTTTATTAAAATCATTGAAATATCAAAAGCAATTTCATTAACAGATCAAATATTTACATACACAATTCACATTTCTAAATTAACTTCTTATATATCTAACACTTCTTGGCCACAATTATTCTGCTACAACATAATGTTCGGTGCCCGAACATTTTGTGAAATGAAAAAATAAATGAATTACTTCATTGACCAGACTAAATCATCAAATCAAAGTTTAAACTAAAAATGTTAGGGCACCGAAAACAATTTCCAAAATTAAACAAAGATTAAACTGACAATAAACCGTAGCATTAAATACAAGTTTTCATTCAAAATGTTCGGGCACCGAACAATTTGCAAATTAAAAAAAGATTTACTTAAGATGGACGCAAGTGTTTAGTCAATGTTTTAACTAAAATGTTAGGGGCACCGAACAATTTCCAAATTAAAACAATGATTTACTGACAATAACCGAAGCATTAAATACAAGTTTTCATTCAAAATGTTCGGGCACCGAACAATTTACAAATTAAAAATTTTTTTTACTGAAAATGGACTTATAATAAGTGTTAAATCAATGTTTTAACTAAAAATGTTAGGGCAACCGAAACAATTTCCAAACGGCATTTTCAAATTATAGAAAAGATTAACTGACGATAGACCGAAGCATTAAATACAAGTTTCATTCAAAATGTTCGGGCACCGAACAATTTGCAAAATTAAAAAAAGATTTACTTAAGATGGACACAACGTGTTTAGTCAATGTTTTAACTAAAAATGTTAGGGCACCGAACAATTTCCAAATTAAAACAATGATTTACTGACAATAGACTGAAGCATTAAATACAAGTTTTCATTCAAAATGTTCGGGCACCGAACAATTTACAAATTAAAATTTTTTTTTTACTGAAAATGGACTTATAATAAACTTGTGTTAAATCAATGTTTTAACTAAAAATGTTAGGCCACCAAACAATTTCCAAATTATAGAAAAGATTAACTGACGATAGACCGAAGCATTAAATACAAGTTTTCATTCAAAATGTTCGGGCACCGAACAATTTGCAAATTAATAAAAGACTTACTTAAGATGGACGCAAGTGTTTAGTCAATGTTTTAACTAAAAATGTGAGGGCACCGAACAATTTCCCAAATTAAAACAATGATTTTACTGACAATAGACCGAAGCATTAAATACAAGTTTTTCATTCAAAATGTTCGGCCACCGAACAATTTACAAATTAAATTTTTTTTTACTGAAAATGGACTTATAATAAGTGTTAAATCAATGTTTTAACTAAAAAATGTTAGGGCACCAAACAATTTCCAAATTATATATGAAAAGATTAACTGACGATAGACCGAAGCATTAAATACAAGTTTTCTTTCAAAATGTTAGGGCACCGAACAATTTACAAATTAAAAAAATATTTACTGACGATAGACTTAAGTGTTAAATCAATGTTTTAACTAAAAATGTTAGGGCACCGAACAATTTCCCAAAATAAAACAAGATTAACTGACAATAGACCGAAGCATTAATACAAGTTTTCATTCAAAATGTTCGGGCACCGAACAATTTCCAAATAAAGAAAAGATTTACTGACAATGGACTTAAGTGTTGAATCAATGGTTAACTAAAAATGTTAGGGCACCGAACAATTTCAAATGAAACAAAGATTAACTGACAAATAGACCAAAGCATTTTTTAAAAAATGTTAGCTTGGGCACCGAACATTTTGCAAAATTAAAAAAAAATGACTTTGAAAAAAATAATTTTTCAGCACTTTTGCAAATTATTTTTAAGGAGAAAGCTACAAAAAGAAATGAATTATTATATGACTAGACAAAAGCATTAAATCAGTGATTTAATTCAAAATGTTTGGACGTAAAACAATTTCCAAATAAAAAAAAAGATTCACTGACAATATTATTGAAGCATTAAATATAAGTTTTCATTCAAGATGTTACAGCACAGAACATTTTGCAAATTAAAAAAAAAGATTTACTGACAATAGATAGAAGCATTAAATAACAAGTTTTCAGCAAAGATTGTTGTGTTCAAGTTGAAGAAAATTCATTAAAAATAACACAGTTATAGCCCCTTTTAGCAAAATCAAGCAAAATTTCGACATTTGACCTTGAAGGTCAAGGTCATTTATGAATGTAGGTCAGGTTTAATCTAGTCTTGCTTGAGGATCTTATCCAAAAAGTTTTGTGATGGCCAAGTAAGAAGACAATACACCAAAAGCTCAAAGTTTGACCCAAATTTTAATTTGCAGCGAATGAAAACTCCCTTACTGTAAAACCCTCTTTTTTTTTTTCGAAAAAATGCCAAGCTAAAAAGGGTGAAAAAAAACCAAATTTTACTTAAATTTCAAGCTTTTTGGAAATTTTTAATTTCGTTTGCTAAATTTTGGCCCCAAAAAACCAAATAAAAAACTTTTTTGTTAAACTATATATAAAAAAAACTTTGTTAAAATGCCTTAAAATTTCACTGCGGTACTCTGTTATTTTTTCCTTAAATGCCCCTGGTAAAAGGGAGACAGAAGACAATCTACTTGTATATTCCCCACTTATCATGTGACTAGTGTGTAGGTTTAAAAAAAAGATATCTGGGAAAACGCTTCCTTTGTTTTAGCAAATTTTTTTGTTACTCAAAATAATTTGTTTAGTTTTACACTAAAATTGCCTGGTGAATTAAACAAAAATCTCAAATCTTCTTACACTATCGGAACTGTAAAAAAATTTTTAGCACCAAAACGAGTTTTTATCGAAATCCCCCGTTTATCCCAATTATTTTTGCGTTGGTCATTTTTACAGCTATTGAAAAAATAAGGAAAACATTCAAATTTTTTCAATCTATTATTTCTTGCTCTATCCTTACATAAAAATCTTTTTTTCTGGGGACTTAGTAAAATACAGTAATGCTTAAAAGACAGAAAAATTATAAAAACAAAATAAAACTTTCGATGTATAAAAATTATCCAATTTGTTTTCCAAATTTTTGTTTTTTTTTCGTTCAAAGCCCCTTAAAAATTTCAAAGTTAAAAAAACCTTTTTTTAAAAATTTGGGGACTTAAACCCTTTGTTTAATTTTTTAAAAAGCATATTGCATTTTGTCCAAAATTTGGTTCATACTTTCCCGTTGAGTGCTGAAAATTCAAGAAAAATAAATTTTCCAAAAACATTAAACCTGACCAATTCAAACTTTAATTTTTCCTAAGTGTTCTATATGTCAAATTTTGGTGAAATTTAGAAAATGAATGCCACTTCTTGGCGGGTACCCCGCAACCCCTTTTTCAATCACAGTGGTTTAGGGCGGAAAACCCCCTGCCCAAATCTAGGTTTTTAAACCAGTGCATTGCAATTTTTTTACATGCTTCAAATGTTGAAAAAGTCAAATCTACATTGGAAAGGGCTTTTTTACAATTGGGAAAAAAAGCTTTTTTTTTTTCAAAGGTCCCTGTGCCTTTAACTTTACCATGACCCCCAAATCAATAGGGGGGCCCTTTAGTCATGTCCAAATCCATGCCAAATTTGAAAATTTTTGGTCAAAAGGAAACTTAAAATGGTGGACAAAAATTTTTGAAGTAAAAGTCCCCTATGACCTTGACCTTTGATCCAGTGACCCTCAAATCAAAAAGGGGTCATCTACTAATCATGGGACTAACCTCCATTCCAAAATATGAAGACTGCTGCGGTCATAGGAATCTTGAAGTTATGGGCGACAAGCTTTTGAAGTCAAGGCCCCCTGTGACCTGACCTTTGACCTGGTGACCACAAAATCAATAGGGCTCATCTTACTAATCATTGTACTAACCTCCATTCCAAAATATGAAGGGACTGTGGGTCATAGGAATCTTAAGTTATAGGGCGGACAAGCTTTTTAAGTTAAAGGCCCCTGTGACCTTGACCTTGACCTGCGTGCACCTCAAAGTCGAATAGGGGTCATCTACTAATCTATCGACTAACCTCAAT